ATGTTTGTGCCCTGCCATAATCCATCTGAACTTTAAACACTGGTGGCTGGAAACACAATGAAATATATATGTTAAAATTTAGAATTGGATGTATAAGTTAACTGAACTATTTCCAAAAGTGAATATTCTGCTACATGTAAAAGCTATGAAGAACAATACTACACATTAAAAGTTTAAGGTTTATTTTTATTTAAATTTGATAGTATAGTATTCTCTTTGTCAATTTTTAATTACTCTGCTATTATTTCCTGCATCTGTAAATCTTCTGTTTCACATTTTGGTGGGTTTTTTTTGTGTTTCTCTGAGGTATCCCAATAATGACAAGATTTATGAAGAGTATAAAATTCTTTTTTTTTTTTTAATTCTTGGACAGCCCACTTAAGATCTTGAGTAGCTCATCTTGGGTACTGCACTGAAACAAAACAAAACTTTGCAAGAATGCTTTTGAATTTTTGGTTTTCACCCTGTACAGTTTTATTAGCCAGCCACGAAGTAGATGCTTAATTCACAAGAGTGTTGTAAGATATTTACTTCTAAAGCTCCTGTAGCCACAAAACACTTCTTGCTGTTCTGAATCAAATCTTGGACCTACAGTAAAAGACCAAAACTGTGTTGCATTGATTCAAGAAAGAAATGGCAATAGATCAAGGAACATGTCAATTTGTACTTTCCTATATTTGTTTGCTAAAATTTGGAATTGAAACTTGTTACAAGAGAAAAGCAGCATCCTATTCTCCCTTCTGTCCATCCCACATTAAATTTCATTGACAACCTCAGTGTCCATCATGTCTCTAAAGGTGTAACAAAAGTGATTGTTGTTAACACCTGAAATTAGGAGTAAAACATACAAATTAGGGACTTTGCCCTTCTAAGTAAACAAGACTTGGAAAGAACCTACTGTTTGCAGTCAAGAAACAACATTCTGATTTCCTTTTAACCCTTGGTATATTAAAAATACTTGTATAGAAATCTTGAACATCATGAGTCACTGTAATATCTTCTACAAATGAATTAATTTTGAAGTTGCTTCCACAAACACTTTGTGTGTTGTTCTGGAGGGGTTTTGATTCCAAATCTTGCACCGTAGAGTAAAGATGCTTTTGTTTCTTGCTGGTTTTGAAAAGTAGTTCAGTATAGAAATATGAGAACAGGGTGTAAAGCCCAGGTGTTTCCTCTCTCAGGTGACTGTCATAACCATCATATGAACAAGTATCTATTTGTCTGCTACTGAGCTACTCCAACTGCAGATTTGGATAGCAGTGCACTTAAGATTAGTCTATATTAATTTATTAATTTCTCTTCTTATGGATAAAATATACAGGCCAAATACATTTGAGATTGCAAAAATCCTGGGGGAAAAGTCATCATGCTATCATCCAAAACCAACTGCATGGGTGAAACACAGCTTTGATTTTCTTCATTTTAAGTAGAGACAAATTTTGTCATCGTTGCCTCCATTTGAGACTCAAACAGCAATACAGTATTGAATCTCCTAATCCTCAGTCTCCTTTAACATATTTTAACCAGTAATGTTTATTTTAAAAATGTTTTTCCATTTTTCTGTACATGTCATGGATATGACGTCTTGAGCGATTGTGGACTTCTCATCTTTTGTGGCTTACTTACTACTCTCCTATTGATAGGTCAATACTTGTTTTTTGAAACTGAGCATGATTTATTTCCTAGCACATATCTGTGACATAAAGCTGTGTTTAGGAGTTTCATAATGTCTCAATATCCTATACTCAGTGTGGTTTCTAATTGTGATGTTCTGCTGCATGGAATGACTATAAGATTCATGGAAAATGTTCAGTGTGAAATTGAATTGTTTCTACAAAATGTTACTTGAAAGTTAAAATACACCTCATCTCAGAAGTCCCCATTAATATCTGAATACTTCAAGGGTACAAGGTCCTGAAGCTGTCTCTACAGATAGAGATTCTCACCCTCCCCTACCTCAAATCTTCCTCCTTTTCCCTGTCTCCTTGCTCTTCAGTGCGATCTAAGTCGTTCAGATAGATGCATGTCTCTAGTTCATATACTGACAGCTCATGTATCAGCTTTGGATACCATCATCTGTTACATGGCAACACATTTTGCA